CAATATTATATCAGTAATTAAGTTACTGATATAATAACTTAATTACTGATATAATATTGCAATGGCGTTTACAATATTTTATAAATACTGTAATAAATACAAATTTAAATACTGTAAACGCCATTACAATATTATATCAGTAATTAAGTTACTGATATAATAACTTAATTACTGATATAATATTGCAATGGCGTTTACAGTATTTTTTTATCGATAATCAATATGTTCTCTACACTATATACATTTTTCATTCATCCTTTCTAATAGTTCCTAACTCAAATAGCCATTTGTAGCCAATCTAAACTTGCAGCACCCACTACAAGATATCTCGTAGCTGGCAGTTTTGGTACAGACGTTTACTACGAGATATCTCGTATCTTGGCAGTCAATGGGTTAAAGGATCGTGGCAAATATTTCTGTTGCAGAATTACAGTCGGTTCTTATTCCGTAGGAGGAACAACTGTAGACGCAACGAGGTCGATTCCGAAGCTCGCTCACGAATCGTTCGACTGGCTGTGATGCGGTTCATGCGATGGTCCCTACCGTAAATCTTAAAGGCGTAAAAGACCTTCAAGTCCCGCGGAGCCTGCTCCGAAAAAACCGACATCATCTCGAGAAACTCCTCGAAACAGATCCCTTCGGTGTCGGCGGTTGAGGACTGTCCTGTACTCTGACGTCTCGTGAACACCTCCGATATACGTTGTCTGAACGGATTTTCCTGTAACATCACCACCTTCGTTACGGGAATACGGTTACTGGCCGGTACCAAGCGTTAACGTAACGCCAGAGCTATCAGACTAGTCGAAACGACCGCTTTCGTTCGTCTAATTTTCTAATTACGAATCGCACAGTGCCCGAAACCAGTTGTCTCGACCGCTCTTTCATAGGTCTAGCTTCGATGGTAAGTTGAGAGTACTTTCAGCTCCGGTATACGCGTCAAACATGAAAGTGGTATGCGAAGACCCGATGCTTGTTGAGGCGTCATAGTACGTGGTATCGTTCCCGAGTCACCCATCTCTCGAAATCGTTTGAATATTCTGAAAAAAAAGATAACGATCCGGAAGAAAACAGCAAATCGCGATAAATTCGCGTCGAATTACCTCAAAATCTCTTTACGCGTAAAGAAAGTGCAATCCTGATAATCCTCCAGCTGTTCCTCCGTAAACGTCGCCACTTTGTTTCCCATGTTCGCTCTTTATAGACGTGTTCGCAAACGATTCTCGAGGAATGCAAAAGTATAAGGTCGCATAGAGTAGGACGATACGCGTTTCGGTCTCGCATCCGAGCTTTCAACTGAGCTTTTGCAGCCCCGTCGACAGTTCTAATTACTAGGTGTGTCGCGCCGCACCTACTTTCGTCGATGTTTTCGTTAGGGGTTCGCTAGGAAGTTCGATATTATTCGCTAGGACGTAGTGAAACGCGGGGAAAAATTTGAATCGTGCGTCTGTTCGTGGAAAAAAGATATATTGTACGGATTTGTGCAATTCCCGGCGATTAACTTAATTGTCAATTAAATATAGTGGTCTTCGTAATTTTCTTTACAGTCGAGCAGATGGTTGAGGCACTCTCGAAATTCATCTTCTTCTAGGCCAGAATCTGTGAACGCGTGAAATTGTCTTATACTTCTTATCCTGCTCACTTGACTGTGCAAGGATTCGTACATTGTCCGAAGGCTACTTCCACTGTGCAAGCCGGCCATAACGGAAACAGATTTAACATCTGCAAATAAAAGAATGAATTTGTGTGATTAAAAGAACCTGAGCAGCAATTATAGATATTAATGATATATACATATAATGATATTAATGTACCATTTCCCAGCGGCCATCCCATAATATCGCCTGTCTCGGTAATATTATTATTAAAGAATCTTGGATACGGATCTTTGACAATCAGTGGCGAAGAAATGGTGGTAAGATAAGTGGCCGATGCGTGCGAAGTGGAAGCTAAATACAGCATCATCATCTCGTGCACGGAAGAACATCTATAGGCTGGTTTCGACATTTGTTTCATCGCCTTCGCCATGGGTCGTTTCAATCTTTCTTCTGGAACGCCACGTAACGCGATACTTCGCATAGTTTTATCCATTTCTATTTCACAATTCGGTGTCAGGCTTGTCCACAATGGTCCCGTCAAGTCGTCCAACACGTCGATCAAATCCATTTTCGCTGCCATTGGGAATGGCAAGGTCAGACTTGTCGCTGCTGCTTTACGACCCATCTTATTAAGATCCGCGCATAAGTCTGTCAGTACAACGTTTGGATACTCTTTGCGTCTGTATCTTATAGTCGCTACATCCAATGCCGTCGCTAGTAGCGCGCTGCTATGAATATTCAGCTCTGAATTATACGATAAATGATTGAACGCTCGCGGTTCTCCTGCGCGAGGCCAAACAGTTTGACTACAACAAAGTGGACTGTATAACGAAGAAAATTCTCCAATATGTTGCCAGCACAGCGCGGTGTTCAGAGCCTTGATTAAATCAAACTTTGAAGGTTCGGACTTTTTACTGTCAATACATGGAAACGCTAGTATACTCTTCCCGTATTCATCTCGTAAATGTTCTATACACGACGCTCCGAGTCCACCGAAGCTGTCCACAGAATCTAGAATAACCTGCATTTAAAAAAAGAAAACAATAAACATTAAGAAATAATATAGCACCGCGTGCTTCATTGATTCGAAAAACGAATACGTGCTTGAAAACCTTGCATATGGTCACACTCTTCTACGTATGTTCTTATTTTTTCTATGAAATCTTCCGAGAATTGTTCAGTATGCCATAAATTTTTTCCATACATATAAATATCAAATGGCTGCTCTGCACAATTATGCTTATACTGTTTGATCGTGCTCACAGTTCTAGGATGGAATCTTGGCAATAAATAATCTACCCATGTATTAACATTGTTGTCTATGGTAACAGTTGTCGATTCTGAAGATCTTGCAGATTCATCTAGACTTTTAACGAATGAAGTTTTAACGGCAGCCTCTTCTTTAGTGACTTCAACCTTATCATTATCCCATAATAATTTTGTTTCTTCATCCTGTTCGGCATGATACAAGGTACCTTCCTCTTTCAAATATCCTAATGTTCCTTTTAAGTCTACGAGTAACAGCCTGGGAGTATAGGTCACTTGTTTCTACAAATATAAGATTACATTATCATATTGTTGATTCATTATTTCTTCTTAAACTATTTAATATTATCTATATATTCTTACCTGTAAATTCTCCCCCTCTCTATACAGAACATCATTATTTATTTCAGATGGACGGTCAGCATCATAAGAAAAATTAGTTTCCTGGAAAAATATATAAATTGTACAATTTAATATACATGATTTACTTAACGTTATTTATTAAATACCTGTAAATTCCAAAAATGAGTTCCAACAAAATTGGAATAATGACCAATTTGTATAGTTAATATTTCCCGTGACATTGCGTTATATTGTTTATATCCGTTGTTAAGCACTATGTAATAAACAACGGCAATTAAAGGTTATATTTTAATTTTCTCTAATCTATTTTTCACATCGTCTACCATTTAATATAAGAGTTATCACCTTTTCATAATTTAAAAAATTTCAAGAGATTATTTGTTTACGTACTCATTTACGTACATAATTCTCATTGACATCACATGCGGCACGACACACACGACACGCCACACATATACGTATGTAGTATATATATATGCATGTATTGCAATGCAGCTGTCATGGACACGCGAAACACTATCACCACAAAGCGGTAAATGCCTGAACTAACTCTCTCCATGTGCATAATGCAGGATCACAAAAAAAAACAATAATTATGAATAAATTAGACCATAAAAGAATAAAACAAGTGCACAGGATTTTTTATGAGAGTCCAATGCATCGATACGATATTTTCGGTGTTGTTATCCGTTTTTTCACATGATATGGATACAGCAAATTCTCCTGAATAGCTCTGTACCCTTAGTTTATTTTTGTTTATCCTGCTTATGTCATAATTAATATTTTCCAGCGATCCTGCATTGTACACAGGAAGAATTACAGGAAAATTTCAAAATAGCGCCATTTCACGCAATGATAAAACGCTCGAACGGACAGCCAAATATCGGCGGAACCAGGACACAGATATCATCGCCACTTATCGGAAACATTTGAGAACTAATTGGTTACAAGCTTGGCTATTTTGCCACTACGTGGAATGGCGTTAATTTCAGATTTTAAATAGAAGTAGTAGGTGGTACCATCGAACGGACAAACCTGAAAGCGCAGCATATAGGGATTTCAGATGAGAACAAAGAAAAATAAATAAATAACAGTTTCTTACACGTATTGGATTCAGCAACGACATGAAATATTTGAGATTCGAAATGAATGAAACGTTTACTTTCCTCCCAAATTACTCAATTCAAATCAACCGCCACAATTTTCTTGTAAGATGGCGTAACATACACCGCGCAAGATGACACTGTTGATTTCTAAGTCAAGGACTTTCATCTCTACGTATGAGAATGTTCTGTGTCCATTGTAAGAAAAAAAGATCCTGTTGTCTTTTCCGTTATTAACTGGAAATGACGCACGATTCATTGCGTAGAAAAGTGTTGTACAGATCAAATTATTGTTGAAGTATTCATGAGAAGTGTAAACAATTCTATTGATAAACAGTATGGCCAATCAACAAAGATTATGTACAGTGCATGAATCACTCATGGAAATACTGCTTGAACGAAACTGTTGATTTTCTGCCACTTAATTCTTCTTGTTATTTGCCAAAAAAACACAAGCTGTTGATGTTTCATTCTTTGGATAAGGCTTTTTACATAAGGTTATGTGTACGATAATCGATGATTAATATGTTCTGAGACGTTATCCGTGTTCCATCAGTGGTTGATTACATACTTCGCAGTTTTTAAACTGATTAATTAAGTAACCATTTGTCGATAGACTTACCCGTATCGGTAACGTTAAAATACATTTCCCCGGGTATGTTGAAATTATCCTAAACTTAAACAACGATCAACGTTGATACCGTGAGATCTACTCGTGAGAATGGCCGATGAAACAGAAATCGTTCGTCTTGCCAACGAGGATATCGAGTGTCTGGAAGCTGAGGTAGACGGTGATGATGTAGATGAAGAAGGTTCCGACGGGGTTGTCGTTCCAGAGCTTCAGGGTACATTATCCAAATGGACAAATTATATACATGGCTGGCAAACTAGATTTATTGTTCTCAAAGATGGTACTTTATCTTATTACAAATCTGAGCAGGACAGTGGATTTGGATGTCGTGGTTCAATAAGTTTGTATAAAGCTAACATTAAGGTATGCATTGACACAAAGTATTTTTTGATATATATTTTTCAGTAATTTCATGGAAAATGTTATGATATTGCTTTTCGCTATCTGTTTTGTTAGGCGCACGAATTCGATGAGTGTAGATTCGATGTGTCTGTGAATGATTGCCTGGTATGGTATTTAAGAGCAAACTGTCCAGAAGAAAAACAACGTTGGGTAGATATTCTGAAATCATATAAGGTATTCAAATTTTACAATAATAATATTTTATTGCCTCTTTTATATTGACACTTTACCTACCAATAATATCTTAAAATCCTTATAAATCAAAGATAAACAATTGAATTTCATTTAGAAGAACATTATTAATCTTTTTTTTAAGTCATTAAACAATTTATCAATAGATTTCTGGTAGTTAAAATATTAATCTGTTCCTAATTATAGTCTCATACGATATAAATGATTGTTACACTTTATTAAAATTGTGTTTATTTATTATAAACAGTCAGAATCTGGTTATGGAAGCGAGAATAGTCTGAAACGTCATGGTAGTGCCATTTCGCTTGTGTCAAATACACAATCTATTACAAGCGCAGGTAGCTTTACTAAACGTGGTGTTAGAGGATTAAAAGAAAAATTAGCAGAACTTGAGACCTTTAGGGATATCTTGGTTAAGCAAATTGATACTCTGCAAAAATATTTTGATAATTGTGCAGAGAATGCTAAGAATATTTCCACGAAAGGTATGTTGCTGATAATTTTTGTTTGAATGTATTCAACTGTTTCGTAATGTTTTGTTTCAATCTAATTGGTATTTTGACAGGCAGAATCTTTACCGTTGTATCAGAAAAAGTTATATGTTTCAGAAAATAAAGTTGAGACAATGTTTGATCCAGCTGAACAAGCAGTAGATTTTAAGGGAGAAGCAATAACATTCAAAGCAACTAGCGAGGGCGTGTTAGCAACATTGCAGCATTGTGTTGAGTTAATGGTACAACGAGAAGATGCATGGCGTCGTCGATGGGAAAAAGAAGTTGAGAAAAAACGAAAAGTGCAAGAACTTTACAAAGTGTTGAAAGATCAGGTTGGACCACAACAAACTGATTCACCGAGACCTAGAGTTCTTATCCATGGAGGTCCTGATTACGAGGTCCGATTACGAAATCTAAAAATATTTGTGTAAACGTTCAACAAAACAGAAAACATGTTTTATCTTTAATTTAACAGGAAGGTCCGCACAGTGCTCTCTGTGATGAAGAATTTTACGATGCAGTAGAAACTGGATTGGATAAAATCGACGAGGAAAATCAACTGAGAGACCGTTTGAAGCAAAAGTCAGTTTCAATTTTAACTGTTCCCACCATGTCAGCAGCCAAGCACAGGCTTTGGCCAGAGGTATTGTTTTATTCTTTTAATCAACATAGTTACATTCGAATAATACTGTATCTTGGATTTGTGCTTCGTCTACATTTAGATAGAGAAAAAAACGATGCAACAGTTGCATTATGCACGACTTGGTGTTGGAGCTGGTGGATGGCAATTGTTCGCTGAAGACGGCGACATGAGAATGTACAGACGCGAAGAAGAGGCTGATGGCTTAGTGGTAGATCCCTTGAAAGCATGCCATGTTGTAAAAGGAGTCACTGGCCACGAGGTTTGCCAGATATTCTTCAGTCCCGAGTATAGAACTGGATGGGAAGCAACCCTGGAAGACATGACTGTGGTCGAAAACATTTCCAAAGATACTTTAGTATTTCTTCAAACTCATAAACGAATTTGGCCGGCGAGTCAGAGAGACGCTCTATTCTGGTCGCACATGCGTCGTGTATCCGATGATCAAGATCCGGATGCACATGATTTATGGATAGTTTGTAACCATAGTACAGATCATCCTGACCATCCTGTAAGTTTTGGAAATGTTTGTTTTCAAAATTCAGTGAATAGATAGCCCCATAATGAATATGTCACGTTACAGCCAAACACGGGAAAATGTGTACGAGTTTATCTGACCGTGTGTCTTGTATGTCAAACCTTTATCGATCCACCGAAAGATGAAGAAGAAATAAAGAGAGATAACATTACGTGCAAAATAACATACTGTTCCGTTGGTTGGTATTCGACGTTATTTTCTGCCTTCTTAATTTAGTTCGCCATACATTCATTCATTATGCATGTAATACTCTTATTTGTCGATTGCAGTTAATCCTGGTGGATGGGCTCCAGCGTCTGTCTTACGTGCTGTTTATAAAAGGGAGTATCCAAAGTTCCTTAAACGTTTTACTAGTTTTTGTATTGATCAGTGTAAAGACAAACCGATTATATTTTAAGTGTAATTCGATAGATATTCCATATTTTCCATCCAATTCTTTATTTATGACATTGGGACATCGTTCTGACGCTCTCGATGCATTAATATATCAAAGATAACAAATCAGAAGTTACATAATACAGAAAACTCGAAAAGAAAAACTCTCCCAGTATAAATGAAAGTGTTTTGTATACTATTTTTTTTATTTGCTTAATATGATAGCTTAATGGAACAGAATATAAACTGTTCCATCGAAAGTGATTTAATAAAGTGTAAAAAAAACATTATATACACTTCCGAGGTAAACTTTGGAACACGCGCGCTGAAGCACTGTTTATAAATTATATTTACTTCTTTAAATAATAGCCTGTTATTTTATTGTTATACACAATGCTGTCGCAAGCCATTTGTAAAAATCTTAACGAAACGATTACATATACATTTATCTATTGTTATATTAAATATTCAATTAAATACGAAACTGTATAATACAAATTATATTGTTATTTTTATTTATACATAAAATGTGTACAAAGATACACAATATAATGGTCGAATGAAGAAACATAATAAAGACTGTTGTAGATTTGTCTTAAATCGTATTTTATACGTTGCTTTAATCCGAGTTTTTAATATGATATTAACACATGCTTAGTAATTAAATATGTACAGGTTATTAGAACAAATTAAGAAAGAAGGTTTTTTAAGAAATAAATTTATTTCTATAAATTACTTAACTAAAATTATAAAACTTCTATATCATGTATGTACATCGTACAAAATAGTTTTACCTCGTACCCTCCATTTAACATGAACTGATTGGAACATATATTTTAACTTGGAACTGGTTAAATGTACACTACATATTACACGTTTTTCAAATATGTTCCTTTAAAAAAAGACATGAGGGATAACATTTAAATAAAATTCAAATAGAATCATTTTTTAAATCACAAGAAACGGGTACGAAGATATACAAATGCGTTTCTGTCTTCTTATAAACTAATTATTATTAATTACGATAATGGCCAAGTTTGAAGATATAACAGTTATGCATTTTTGGAAATGTGACCGTATGTTTTATTAAAAAAATTAAGTCAAACGAATCTTGAATTAAGAAATGCAGTTTAAGAAACTCACGTTAAAAACTTATTAAAAACTCAAAGGCGGTAAAATTGAGTGTTGTCGTTATAATATAATATTTACAATTTTAGTTACTTAACTTTAGCCATTATATTAACAAATTATTTTCTAATGCGATTATACATACAACACATTGAATTTCATAAAATCACTATAAACTATAAGAAAAATAGGTATACATTGATTGCAATGCACAATGCGTATCTAACGCCATTGTAATTCGATGAAAATGGAAGATTTGTGACAATTATATTTACAATGTGTATCATCTACAACTGTGCTATTCATCATGGCAAACATAAATATATAATTTACTCTAAAACTTTGTTAGAATTTCAATCTGTTTGTATCAATTTTAAATGAAATATAATTGTATAGTAGTGTACGTCAAATGAAATTAATCTGATTAAAAGTTTCAATAATTCTTAAACATTTTCAATTATGTTTGTCGCTTGTATCAGTCCAAGACAAATAAGTCTACATATCAGTAGTGAAAGCAAAATACGAAAATCGTAAATACTCTTTAAGTGACTCCAGATGTAAAAAAAATGTGTACTTCTTTTCTATATTTCAATTGCTATTATCTTCATTATTCATAAGAGCCTAATTTCTTTAATACACTAAGTCCTTTTTCTTCGTACTCTTCTCTGGTTATCCACGCTGAATCTCGATCCTTTGTTATTTCTGCTAATACAGCACCACCCATAAAAACCATGTCCTTACGTCTAGGAGAATCTTCGATTTTTATCTTAAATTTCTAGAAACATATTAAAAGGTATGAATAAAATCCACATGTTGCAATAGAACTTGAACAAAGCGACTTTTTTATAATTACATTTAATTTTGAGGTATCATTCTTTAATACTCTTTGTAAATAAAGCTGCTTAATTTCCCTTTCAAGCCTAGATGGAAGTCCTGGATACATTGTGCTACCGCCACTTAAAACAATATGTTTATACAGTTCGCTCCTTATATCGATGTCAGCTGCTTGAATAGTGCTAAATACTAATTCAGCAATTCCCTGAGCTTCAATGTTGATTAAATGTGGTTGGAACAATGCTTCAGGCGCTGCAAATCTTTCGCCGCCTACTTTTATTACTCTTCCATCAGGAAGCTACAAAATTTTTGGCTAGAATACAATGTAAATTTATATTTTCTGAAGTTGTAACAATTTTTACTCACAGTATAGGACTCAACCAAGACTGTGGTCTCAAGTGCTAACTTTTCCTCGGTTTCAATATTGTAACCGATGTAACATAATTTTTCTTTCATCATTCTAACTGTCTCAAAATCAGCCGAATGATTAAAAGCATATCCACGTAACAAAAGAAGCTTTATTAAATACATTGTAATGTCTCGGCCAGCTATGTCTAACCGTCGAGTGAGATGAGGTAAAGCATACTCTTCAAACACAGGACATATATGAGTGACTCCATCTCCAGAATCTACTACAACTCCACTAATCAACCCTTGAGCATATAATGTAAGTACTGCTTGAATTGCAATGAATGTTCCAGCAAACCCATACTTTTCGAACATTACCTAAAATCATTTTATAAAATTAACGTATAATTATGTATTGTCATCAAAAAGATTTGTATAGGCGAAAGTGGTTTACCTCAATCATTTTCTCTCTGTTTGTGATAGGATTCATTGGTGGTTCCGTTAATAGGATCTTGCACTCTCTTGGATTGATATTCATTTTTTCTTTTCCAAATGTGTAGTCCCAAACATGACACATGTCTTCCCAATTTCTGCAAGGTGTATTAACAATTTAGTAATCTATAGTGCATGCAGATTGAACAAAAATTTTCATACATACCTAACAATTCCATTTTGCATTGGATAACTAATTTCTAACATAGATCGAAGTTTGCTTGCTTCATCTCCAACCATTAAATCCTGTGATAGTAAATTACAATGACTTAAAAATCATTATGTGCCCTGCACATATGTACATGTTTAGTTAACATAAATTGTTAGTATTTAAATAATTCAACAAATCATTCTAAAATCTTATAGATTATGTTATATGAATATGCGTAACTAAAAAGACAAAGTACTTCCATCTGCATACAAAATAATTTTTCTTGTGATTCCTATTGTGAAAAAATGATTACTAACAGGTACATTACCTTTCTTCTTTTAACATTCGCATAGTCGCTTGGATAGTATATTATATCAGTAAGAAAAAAAAATTCAAAAACTACAGAGACCCTATTAATAGATAAGTAAACATTTTAGTTTTTTAAGCACTGATGTAGTACCGACAATTGTACATATTAGCATCAAAAAATGCAAGAAACTTACAGGCATGTTAAGCACATCCTACGAGAGCAAGTGTAAGCACACAAATATATTAGATAGTTATCAAAAATACAATATATACACAAACCCACACACAATAAATATAAATTGTATCAGCTTTGTAGACATTTTTATCTTTTTTATAATGGATAACAAAGCAGTAACCAATTATGTGGTGGGAAAATTGACCACAAACGATTGAAATAGGAAGATTAATTAAATTTGAATACAAACTATCATATCCTAGTAGTTTTAAAAATAATTTCCATCTTACTTTTTGCATCTAAACTCCATTCTGATATTTGTGTTAGCGAAAAGGGTTAGCAAGTCAAACTTTATTTACATCAGTGGACAAATGCACAGATTATTTTCAATCAAATTTTAACATTGAAGCACACCGCATAATGTGAATTGACTTACACGAATACAATATTCTTGCTGAAAATTAAGCGAGTTATTAATATATTGCTTGAAGATTATTAACTACGAATAGTTTTCCATAGCAAGAAGGTACTTCTGAGTTTACCAATGAAAATGAGAAGAAATTCAACTTTTAGGAGTCTCCTCACAAAAGTGCAGAATTAAAGTTCATTATCTTGATTAATAAAGTTATATAATATCTTTGTAAAATACAAGAAACATATACTTTAAAGCAACCAAATTTTGTCCACAAATCATATTTACAATTGATTGGCAAATAAGGAAATAAAATTATGATAAATATTCTAGTTTCTTTTTATACTTGAATAGTTGACAAATTTACCTTCACATCAATGTCTCCTATCTTATTGACTGCTCTGATTATAGGACGTCCAACCATCGATGGAAATATGTGTGCTGGAAAATTGGCTCCCGCATATCCACATTTAACAAACTACAAATAGATAATCATTACGTGAGCAATGTAAATTATTAGTTCGTTAAAACTTTATGGTTGTTAATACCTTAGCTATAGCCAGTTATTTAATAGTATTTTAAAAATTAAAGAAGAATAATGAAAAATATCTTGATGAATACTACACAACAATAACAATTGGACCTTCTTTTATTATCACCCTGTATAAGTCAGTAACTTCTTTTGTGTGTGTGTGAGACTACTCTTTAAAAGGAAATTATTAAACTTCTTTTAAATACAAAATATATTGATAGACTTGCAGTAGCTAAAGCATTAACAAGTCCCAAAGACAAATATATACAAAACCGACACGAAGAGAAATTGCAAGTAAGGGATGAAATCGTATAACCTTACCCCTGTTCCATTATCGCAAACGATGATCTTTCTGCCTTTGCTGTCCATGTTTTTTTACTGTAATTACTAAAACTGATCTTTCTTGTTTCTCGCGTTAAATTATATTAAACATTCCACATTCCACAAAATGACTAATTGTTGCGGGTTTTAGGGCGTTACCGGCATGACGTTTTTGGAAGCAACGGACGTGTGAAGTCAGGCTTGCAGTTTCTTCAGAACGACAAATATTTTTACTTTCCGGTGGATTCAATTGATATTTACGAGTTGTAAATGGTTCTCCTTCGAGGCGATATCATCCGTACCACACACTGCACGAATTGATAGCACAAATCACTGATTTTCACCGTAAGCCTCTATCGTATTCTAGGTTCGTTTCTTTAAGTCTGACACGCAATCGTCAAAGCTCGATTGGCTGAACGATATGTATCTGTTCCAAACGTCTCGTTGTTATCAATTTTTGTTAGTTACATGTGTAAATACATACACAGTAATGTTTGCAGATAAAATGTTTCCGTTTTAGTCTAAATGCTCCACTTTTACTCTGATTTCAGCTAAACACAATAATGGTGTTAAAAAAGAAGCTTTAGGAAGAAATTATCGCAATCTCTGTTATCCTTGAATAATTCTTTTGTAATACTATACTTTTCTTATATGTACAATCATTCGTTTCTCAGATTCGTAACAGTACAAACAAAATTTTAATTATCTTGAGAAATAATGGCAATACCAATTGCTTATTTAACTAGGAAAGAATTGATTTCCAGCTGTCATCGTTTGCACAGGTACCGCGATCTGTTTTATTTTTGTATATTTGTTGCTTCATTGTTCTTTGTTCTCCAGTGATAATTTGTCCGAGGAGGAGAACAAAAAGGTATATGGAAAATGTAATAATTATTGGGGACATGGACACAACTATACAGGTAAATCTTATTGTCGTAACAATGTTTATTAATTCTTGTATTGATCGCCTTTTTTTGATTTAGTTAAAGTTACTGTGCGTGGACCTGTGAATCCTAAAACTGGTATGGTAATGAATTTAACTGATTTAAAATTATACATGAAAAAAGTATTGATGGAACAGTTGGATCATAGAAATTTGGACAAGGATGTACCTTATTTCAAAAATGTTGTTTCAACTACTGAAAATGTGGCTATTTACATATTTAATGAATTAAGAAAAATAATGCCCAATCCAGCACTGTTGTATGAGGTTAAAATTTATGAAACTGAAAACAACATTGTTATTTATAGAGGGGAGCATCAGTTGTAATGCTTCATTAATTTTCAAATAAGATATACTTCT